AGTCCTATTCTAGGAAGTAAAAGATATACATGGGATTTGACATGTACTGCAAATAAAACTCTAGAAAATCTCCCTATTTATTAGGGAATAACAGCTCACGCTAACAGTTTTCAGTCATGGGCATTGTGGAATGAAGATAGAGGACTAGACCTTATCGATCCGTCGATAAGGGACACATGTGAAAGTCCTGACAGAGCTCTCAAGTGCGTCCATGTAGGGCTTTTGTGTGTTCAGGAATCTCCAGATGATAGACCAACAATGCCATTAGTGATTCTGATGCTAAGCAATGACAATGCATCACTGCCTTCTCCAAAAGAACCTGCATTTTCCAGTATTCGTCATAGGAACTCTAGCAATGTTGTTTCTTCTCCTTCTCGTAACACGTCAAGTAGTTGTTCTAACAATGACTTGACAATTAGCCTGCCTGAGCCTCGATAGGACTTTTGAAGTTTTTCAATTCAATTGAGATATTTATAAATTGAAAAATTTTCAATATAATTATTCAAAAATTTATTGCATACGTACTTCTATCGTCTTTATGGATAATTTATATCATCCAATTTATCTAATTCGTTTGTAATAATCTCCCTAGTTTTATTATGGATTGCCTTTTTTTGAACAGAACAAATAGATGAATATAATTTCGATGCATGAAATTTATAATCAAGATATCCTGTCCATAAAACCAAAAAAAGTACGTCATTGGGCTAAGTTATATATATATATATATATATATATATATATATATATATATATATATATATATATATATTAGAGGAGTTGAATTTCTCAACATTTCCCTCCTATTTAAGGGGTAAATTATAAGTTAATCCCTCTATTTCAAGAAAAAATTAATTAGTCCCTATTGTTTAAAAAACTATTATATATTTTTTCCTTACTTACAAAAATTAATTTCTTGTTAATTGCTATTGTTTTACTATTACTATCTGTTTATTATTTTATTTTTGACTTCTTTCAATAGCATTTTTGTAATTTACTTATAGCTTTTCGAGTATTTATTTTCAAATTTTACACTTTACTCGTTTTTCATCGCTTATGTTTTCAAAATATATTTTAAAATCCTCATATTTTAAAAAATATTTTTGACATCTCATATTTTTAACTTAATCCATTTTTGTCTCACATTTTTTTCAAAATATATATTTTTTCCTTATATTTTTAAAAGATGTTTTTTGCCTCTTATGTTTTTAAATTTTAGAACAAACATATATATCGGATTAGATTTTTTTTTATTGATTAAAATTAATCTCTTAAATTTGTCATTTATTATAAAAATTCTCATCAAATTAAAATTTTTATTTTGTATGAAATTTTATTTGTTAATAAATATGATTTATCTTTCTCTATGTATGAATTTTTTTTTAATAAATAATAGAATTCACATGTTTGTTTACCTTATTCTTGATATAATCAATTTTTTTGGAATAAAATTTAAATTATTTTTATTGTACTTTATTAACTTTAATATATTTCTTACAACTTAAGTTCTTTTAAACATATTTTTTAATTTATACGAAGTATTGTAATGATGTATACAAAAAAGTATTGAGATAATTGATTTTATTCAAAATTAATTTTGCATTTACAAAGATAACACCAACTATTTCCTATTATTTATTTTTAATATTCTAAATTTAATTTATTTTAAATAAAATAATATTTTAAAAGAATCACCTAATCATTCAAATATATATTTTTATACCTAATATTATTGATTTGTGTGTGTGTGTGTGTGTGTGTGTGTGCATCTATATATCAAATGTACATATTTTTTAAAAGTTTTAAAAGATTCATTAGTTAATTTTTATGCAAATTTTTATAAATTGTTAATATATTTCTCCAATGTAGCCTTATAAAAAAACTAAGATATTTTAAAAAAATTATATTAAAATTTTTATTTATATTTTTATAGGGTTTTATTTAAAAATGAATGAATAAAAAAAATGAATCATGCTTTTTTAACAACAAAATCTATGAAAAAACATAAATAAGCACAAATGAAATACAAAAATTGATTAAAAATTATGAAATTAAATAAATTTTTTATCTTTTATTTTAAATTTAATATATATTGATAGAAAAAAACTAAAAGAACTGAGATACTTATTATTCATTTATTGTTGTTTTAGACTTAGATTCACTATTCATTATGTTGCCTAATTTTTCGCCTCCTACTATTCATTATGTTGCTTGATTTTTTGCCTCCTACCTTGTTGTTAATTTCTCTTTTAATACTCGATGAATTTGAGAAACTTCATTTTTGCCCTTGACTAATTTTCTTTTTAATTTTATTTTTGGGCCTTTTTCGTCATTTTTTTTTCAGATTGAGCATTTAATGCTCCTATCTTATTTCAATGTTTTTTTTTCTTATTTTTGACAGGGAAGCCAAAGTGACTTACTATTCAACAGTGATTATAAATTAGTCTCTCTTTCTTTGAGAAACAAATTAATTAGTCCCTATGGTTCAAAACCTAATATTTTTTTTGTCCTTTTTGCTATTTCAATGTTTTTTTTTTTTAAAGAAATAGAGAAAGAATAAAAAATATAGAAAAATATAAAAAAGGAAGACATTTTATAAAATAATAAATTATTCATGGTCAACACCGATTAAAAAAATTAAATAATTTATTTTTTAAACTAAAAGAATTAATTAATTCATTTCTCAAAACGAGATGAACCAATTTATTATTTAATTGGCGGTTAAAGAATCTTTTTCATTGTGGATTAAGAAGTAAAATTTATGAGAACTAATTTTGTAGTAGTTTTTATTTCAGTTTATTGACTTTAATATATTCCATACAACTTAGATTCTTTTTTTAAAAAAAAATTTCGTTTATACTATGATCATATATATATATATATATATCATTAGTTTTGTTGGAAATTAATTATGTATCCGCTTACATAACACCATTAGTCCCTTTAGTTCAAAAACTAATTTTTTTTTTAATTCTTTTTTGCTATTTCAATGGTTTTATTTTTTGTTTAAGGAAATAGAGAAAGAATATAAAAAATATGAAAAAAAGACTTTTAAAAAAAATAAATTATTCGTGGTCAACACTAATTAAAAAAATTAAAAATTTTATTTTTGAAAGCAAACTAATTAATTCATTCTTTTTTCAAAATGAAAAGAACTATTTATAATTTAATTTGCAATTTAAGAATCTATTTCATCATAAATGAAGAAGTAAAATTTATGAGAACAAGTTTTGTAGTAGTTTTTATTTTAATTTATTGACTTAATATATTCCGTACAACTTAGATGGTTTTTATTTTTTTAAAAAAAATTATTTATGCTATATACTCTGAATTTACTAAATATATATATATATATAGAGAGGGTTTTGTTAGAAATTAATTATGTATCCGCATATATAATACTAATTATTTATTAAATATTCTTTTTTATGTTCTAAAATCAATATTTTTTAAATAAAATAATTAAAATATATATCATTAGTTTTGTTAAAAATTAATTATGTATCCGCACACATAATACCAATTATTTGTTATTTATTCTTTTTTAGTTCTAAAATTAATATTTTTTTAAAAAAATAATTGAAATGATTTTTTGAAAGAACCTTTCAATTATTCTAATACAGGTTTTTATGCTAATATTATTGAATATTTTTGTTAATAAATATATATAAATCAAACGATTTTGCTCATCAAATAAATTTGACTTATATTAATTACAAGAAATAAGATATTTATCCGTACTCTACCATACGAATTATTGATCTTAAGTATATAACGGTTGTCCAACCACAAGCATAGCGCTAGTATCCAACTAGCGAGGACTAATTTGACTATAATGTGTACATAAGAGTCAGTGGTAAAAGTTCAAGTTCAAGTTGGTCAGCAATGCATCCATCATTTGTAAATTTAGCCATGAGTAGTTCATGGATTTCCCAGTCGGGAAATTTTATGGCTACCTTTATGTTTGTCTCTTATGTATGAACTTTAGTAGAACCTTAACATTCAAGAAAGGGACTGTGCGGTCGGTGGCCTCACACTCGTGACCCTTGTTTTTTTTTTTTTTTTTTAAATAGAGACAGAACTCATCTCTTAACAAAACGTGATTTTGCCAAATACACGCTTAGCAAACTTTCTTTCTTTGGGTTTGGTTCTTTCCAAAAGAAGAAAATAAAAAGGCCATATGACCTTGGTCTTTATGTACATATTCCAATGAGATTATGTGTGAACATGTGATTATGAAATTGATTTTCTTCTTCGAAATGTGATTTGTGATTATGGAGAAGACTCTTGCAGTTTGTGGTGAATGGTGACTTTTTATCTTTTTGGCAGCCAAAAAGTTCTCCAAATAGTGTAATTTGTTGTGTTGATATGCTGATATGAAGCCTTTTCATTCACTGCAAACATCTCTTAAACTCTCTCTTTCAATCTAACTGTCACGTAATGGGGTTGTGTGTCGTGGTGCTTTTTTTATCAGTTTCATCTTCTCTATTGGTGTTCTGTACAAGTCAACGCATAGTTCCAGGCAAATATATGGGTGCAAACCAATCCATAGTTTCTGCTAGCGGAACTTTTGCATTAGGCTTCTTCAGTCTGGGACATTCAACTCCAAGGTACTATCTTGGAATTTGGTATAACAAAATTCAGAATAAAACTGTTGTCTGGGTGGCCAATAGAGAATCCCCTTCTGCTTCTCGAGGAACTTTCGCACTCGGGGTCGATGGAAAGCTTGTGGTTTTGGATGCAACAAGGAAAACTGTTTGGTCATCAAATGTAAAGGTTTCTGATTCTGCTATAAACGACCCAATCGGTGTGCTAACGGATGATGGAAATCTTGTTTTGTCAAGTGATAAAACCACCTTGTGGGAGAGCTTTGATCATCCCTCTGATACATTCTTGCCTGGCATGAAAATTGGATATAATCGCAAAACTGGCAAGCAAAGGCAGCTTACATCGTGGATAGATGCTGAAAATCCAAAACAAGGAATGTTCTCTTTTGGCATGGACACCACTGGACCTCTGCAGATCTGCATCTGGAAGGATCATCATCTGTATGCCAGAAGCGATGTCGCGAGCAATTCCATGTCATTAACAAAGTTATCCAAGTTGTGGTCATTTGCTTGTTCCTTAACTTTAAGTTTAGAAGGTGATGATATTTATTTCACTTACAGTGCCTCAGAAAACTCGGCAATATTAAGGGTCACGCTAGACCCGGATGGCCGAATAGAGTTGTTGCGATGGCTGGATAAAAACAATAAATGGCTTTCTGTATGGCAGTGGCCATTAAATTGCTGTGAGTTTTATGGTCGTTGCAGTCCATTTAGCAGTTGCGATCCAAAAGGATCTCAGGATCATTGCAAATGTCTGACAGGTTTCCAGCCAAAAGTTCAGCAAGAGTGGGATAGGAGGAATCGGACCAGTGGCACCTGTCTAAGGCAAAGGGCTTTGAGATGTGACAAGGATGATGGGTTCTCAAAGTTTGTGAATATCAAATTACCAGATCATTCATATCTATTGGGAAATATGAGTGCCAACGATTGTGAATCCAGATGTCTACGGAACTGCTCTTGCACAGCTTATGCATATTTCAACGCGAGTGAAGGAACTTCAGGACGATGCCTGAACTGGTATGGGGATTTGATGGATCTTGTACAGGTCACTGCTGGACCAGATCTTCACGTTCGTATTCATGACCGACAACTGGGTATGATCATCTCGCTCTAAGTAGTTTAACTTACTCAACTTCTGCATTCAGCCAAATGGATTAAGTCTATTTGTCCTGTTCGATGAATTTTGTTAAAAATTGATGTACCTTTCCTTTTATATGCAGTTGGAAATGTGAAAAGTAGGGATAAATTTACACACAAAAACAAGCGCTCGATTATAATTGCAGTAGCTGCAGTTTCTGTTGGCCTTCTTGGTATTCTATGTGGCTATATCATCTGGAGAAGATGCTTTCAAAAAGAAGGTATTTTCCGTAAACTTTCGCAACACACACACACTCCGTACAAAGAAGATGCTTGTTAGCTGTTCTGCTTTACTCTTCAGCCTAACATTAATTAATTTCTGACAGAGAGAATTGAAGAAAGTTGTACACGGATTAACACCAACATTGAACTTGGAAAGTCTGACACGGAGTTGGAGATATTTACCTTTAACCGAATACTGGCTGTCACAAAAGACTTCTGTGCAGAAAATAAACTGGGAGAGGGTGGTTTTGGCCCGGTTTATAAGGTAGGTCTTTCAGTTCTAGTAAATTCTGCATCCAAAATTTCTAGTTTACCTGATTTCTGTTACTTTTTCTTCGGTATTCAATTGATCTCTCGTCTGATGATGTGAATGGTTTTCATGCATTTGGTCTATAGGGGGATTTGGTAAATCAAGAAGTAGCTATAAAAAGGCTTTCTAGTAAATCTGGACAAGGACTTGAAGAGTTCATGAATGAGTTGAAACTTATTGCCAAACTTCAGCACACTAATCTTGTGAGGCTCTTAGGCTGTTGTGCTGAAGGAGAGGAAAAAATATTGGTCTATGAATACCTGCCGAATCGAAGTCTTGACAAGTTTTTGTTTGGTAAACTTCTTTCTCTCTGTCGAAACTCTTGAAGATGAATACTACCCTGGTCAGAAAATCATCAATATATTGAATGCACAGTTCTGAACTTATTCTTTTTAGTGATTTTTCTATCAGATCCATCTGAAAAGGTAAATATGGATTGGAGTAAACGCCTTCGGATTATTGAGGGTATTGCTCAAGGTCTACTTTACATCCACAAGTACTCTAGATTGAAAGTGATCCACAGGGACCTAAAGGCAAGTAATATATTACTGGATGAAGCAATGAATCCTAAGATTTCAGATTTCGGAATGGCAAGACTGTTGGGTTCAGATCAAACTGAAGCAGATACCAAGCGAGTGGTCGGTACAATGTAAGTTTACAAACTGCAGACAAACTTCCTTTGACATCAACCTGAGTCTTTTGACATTGTTAATCTTCTACTGCTACTAATTCTTAGCTCAACGACTTGTGAAGCGGTTACATGTCCCCTGAATATGCTATGTACGGAAAATTCTCAGAAAAATCAGATGTCTTCAGCTTTGGAGTTCTTTTATTAGAGATTGTTACTGCCAAGAGAAGTACCAGCTTTTTTCGTCCCGGGCTCCCTCTAACCCTTCAAGGATGGGTAAGAAAAAACAGAACTTCCCTTCTGTGCTGTGATCTCCATTTACTAGGAAAACATGGCTTTGATGTCTTTAACATGTTTTCAGGCATGGGAACTGTGGAATGAAGATAGAGGACTAGACCTTATCGATCCATCGATAAGGGACACATGTGAAAGTCCTGAAAGAGCTCTCAAGTGCATCCATGTAGGGCTTTTGTGTGTTCAGGAATCTCCAGATGATAGACCAACAATGCCATTAGTGATTCTGATTCTAAGCAATGACAATGCATCACTGCCTTCTCCAAAAGAACCTGCATTTTCCAGTATTCGTCATAGGAACTCTAGCAATGTTGTTTCTTCTCCTTCGCATAACACGTCAAGTAGTTGTTCTAACAATGACTTGACAATTAGCCTGCCTGAGCCTCGATAGGACTTTTGAAGTTTTTCAATTCACTTGAGATATTTATAAATTGAAATTCTTCAATACAATTATTCCAAAATTTATTGCATACTATTATTGTCTTTATGGATAAGTTATATCATCCGATTTATCTAATTCGTTTGTAATAATTTCCTTAGTTTTATTGTGGATTGCCTTTTTTTTTATCAGACTGAACGGATGAATATAGTTTCGATGCATGGAAGTTGTCATCGAGATATCTTGTCTATAAAACCAAAAAAAAAAAAATGTCATTGGGCTAAATTATTATTATTTTTTTTTTTTCGAAAAGAATATTGCTTTGGAGAAATTAGAGGAGTCGAATTTCTCAATATTTCCTTCTTATTTAAAGAGTAAATTATAAATTAGTCCCTCCATTTCAAGAAAAAATAATAATTAGTCCCCATTGTTTAAAAAACTATTATATAAATTTTTCTCACCTTCAAAAATTAATTTCTTTTGAATTTCTATTGTTTAACTATTATATAAAAAAGATTTAATAAAATGAGGTGATAAAAAACTTTCAAAAGCATAAGATGCAGATGAATAGCACCTTCGTGTGAAGTCTAATTCAAACTAGATTATAGTACATTCTTGATTGATTTCTTTAATAAATGGATTTGGTCGGATCTTATGAGTTAATACCAAAATTTTTAGTGGTTAATCCTTATTCCACTTTTAGCGAAATTGATCAGATTCAAAAATTGATCAATTTGTCACTCAATTTTTTTTTCAAAGAAATAAATTGTTCATTGTGTCATTGAAATTCACATTCAAGTCTTTTTTTTTTTATCAAATTTTTTTCAAGCTAAAATCGTTTTAGTGGACAAAAACATGTACATTAGAATGAAAATGTTAGTAGTTATTAATTTTTCTGTCGAGGACTTTTTTCCTCAAATGAGCGTCACTGTTACGAATAAAATATGCATGTTATACTTAAAATATTAAAAGTCGATTAGAAACGCGGCATATATTTCACAACTTTTTCAGTATCTGTTTAGCATCCATGTACCAATTATCAACGTAGCCATCAGTAGTTTCAAATCTACTTTTTTTAGTTTACGTTCATCAACTTTTTTTTTTTTTTTAATCTCCATAAACTTCTTCATCAAATGTTTTTCGAATCAACATCATTTTAGCACACAAAATGTACACATTAGAACGAAAAGAATTCAATTAGAAACCCAAATATGCATGTACAAGTTTCAATTCAACGCACTCAGCTAGGTTCACAAACTAAGACAGTATTTGGTTAGATAAAATCCATGCAGCAATTATGAACATAGCCATGAGTAGTTTCTTGGAAGTCCTAATCAGAAATTTGCTGGCTGCTTATACATTTTTGTCTCTTATATATCTACTTTAGTTGCCCAAAACATTCCAAAATTTGAAGTTTCCAGTTCCATTGCTTTCAATGTCGGCAAAACGATCTGTGTGCCGCACAAGTCAAGGACAAGTCCAGGACACAGTCGACCATGTGTGAATGTGTGAAGAAGATATTCCCACTTTTCATTTTCACGTATGCCCAAACTTGATTGAGATTTGCGTTATGAGGACTAATTTGACTATAATGTGTACAGAAGAGTGAGTTGTAAAAGTTCAATTTGGTCAGCAACGCATCCATCATTTGTAAATTTAGCCACGAGTAGTTCATGGATTTCCCAGTCGAGAAATTTGATGGCTACCTTTATGTTTGTCTCTTGTGAATGAACTTCAGTAGAACCTCAATATTCAAGAAAGGGTCTGAATGGTCGGTGGCCTCACAGTCGTGACCCTTTTTTTGTGTACATATTCCAATGAGATTATGTGTGAACGTGTGATTATGAAATTGATTTTCTTCTTCGAAATGTGATTTGTGATTATGGAGAAGACTCTTGCAGTTTGTGGTGAATGGTGACTTTTTATCTTTTTGGCAGCCAAAAAGTTCTGCAAATAGTGTAATTTGTTGAATTATAAGAAAGAACCAGGTGCTACACACAAGAGACTAAAACTTATATCTTTATTCAAATGCAATGCTTGATTTAAATACACGAACTTGCAACAAAAAAATCAGAAATAAACACAGCCACTAAGCTGAAAATAACAACAAAATAAAAAATGATGACCAATAAAATAGCAACAACTAAACAGAGGCTTGGTCTTCTCATCTTGACACGTTTAGCGAGCTCTTTTGACGCCTTCAGCAACATGTTCAGCTGCTTCTTAGGCATATTTCACACACTCCTCCTTGCCTTTGAAGCTGCAAACTCCCAGCTTGTTTCTTAGCTCTTCAAATTTAATTTTAGGCAAGGCTTTGGTGAATATGTTAGTAACTTGCTCATCCGTTCGCAAGTACACTAGTGACACTTCTCCTTCCTTCTAAATTTCTTGAAAAAAGTAGAATTTGATCTTAAAATGCTTCGTCTTGCCATGAAACATTGGATTAGAAGAGATTAAAATAGATCGCTTGATTGTCTATAAATATATGTGTTGATTCTCGTCGCTCCAAACACAAATCACGTAAAATTTATCTTAACCGGATTGCATTATTTGCTGCTGTCGTTGCAGCAATAAATTCAACCTCAGCAGTGCTTTGAGCAACAATTTCTTGTTTCTTCGAGCACCAATTAATCACTCCCGATCCAAGACTCGAAACAAAAACCAGCTTGTACTCTTCATATCATCAACAAAGCCTCCCTAATCACTATCGGAAAAACCAACCAGCTAAAACTCGATCACTCCTTACATACTTGATTCCATAATCAATAGTCCCTTTAATGTATCCGATGATTCTTTTAGTAGCTTGCATGTGTTCTTCACTCGCACAATGCATGAATCGGAGAGGAGACTTACGACTTGCACTATATCGCTCATTGATGCGATGAGATATATGAGGCACCCAATCATACTTCGTAGAGATTTTTATCAACTTTGGCAACTTCATTGTCCTTGTAAAACTTTACTCTAGCTTGCATATGAGTTTTTGTAGGCTTGCAGTATTCTATATGAAACTTCTTCAGAATCTCCTTAGCATATTTTCTTTGATCGATAAAGATCTCACTCCTCTGTCGCCTCACTTCCAAACCAAGGAAATAGGTCATCGGCCCTAAGTTTATCATATTAGATTCCTTAAGTATTTCGGACTTAAAATCATCAATGAGCTCTCGATTGGTTCCTATGATCAACGGATCATCAACATAAATAGAAACAATAGTAATGTTAGTGCCTTCCTTCCTCGCATATAGAGTTGCCTCACTCAAGCTTTTTTGAAGCCTAAGCTTGATTATATGATCATCAATCCGACTCGTACTAGGCCTCGGGGCTTGCTTAAGGCCATATAAAGCCTTCTTTAGCAAGTATACTTTCTCTTCTTCACCCCGCACAACAAATCCCTTATGTTGCTCTACATAAATCTCCTCTTTCGTGAAGCTATTCAAAAAGGTAGAT